GGGGTTTTTTCATAAAAATTTTTTTTCCCCCCCCCTTTTGACCCCCTGGGGCAAAATCAAAATTCCGAAACCTTACTGCACATCTACATGACACCACCAACCATCCCCCAAAAGGTGATTAGGCTGCTGAGTAAAATGTAGAAGGAGTTCAGGGAAGACGGGACTTTTTGCATAAAAAACGTCATTTTTCGACCCCCATTTGACCCCCCGGGGCAAAATGAAAATTCCGAAACCTTACTGCACATCTACATGACACCACCAATCATCCCCCAAAAGGTGATTAGGCTGCTGAGTAAAATGTAGAAGGAGTTCAGGGAAGACGGGACTTTTTGCATAAAAAACGTCATTTTCGACCCCCATTTGACCCCCCGGGGCAAAATCAAAATTCCGAAACCTTACTGCACATCTACATGACACCACCAACCATCTCCCAAAAGATGATTAAGCTACTGTGTAAAATGTAAGAGGAGTTCAGGGAAGAAAAGTGTGACAGACGGACGGACGGACATGAGTAACAACAATACCCGAACTTTCTTTAGAAAGTGCGGGTATAAAAACTGAGAGAAAGTACAGATCTTTTGTGGTACATAGGTTAGATAGAGTGCTTAGGAGAAGTAAGCACTCCGGTCACAAAAGTAATACGTAGTCAAAATTAGTGGGAAAATAATTGTCCTATGTTTGATGTAAGATGGATTGTATTTGAAAATCACTCATATTACAATCTGCAAAATGCTGGCTTGAAATGAACATAAAATCCAACCCCTTTGATACAAACTTATCTGTCATCAGCTACTTTGCTTAAAACATGTATGCACAAAACATACCTATGTGAATTGAATCAATTGTTTTTTTTTTTTTGTTGTTTAAAGACCCTCTGGAGAATACATACGGTGACGCCACCACCTGCCGGTGGATAGATACAAATTTTGACCTATGCTCGGTACTCATTGTCATTGAGCAGTGATTGATCTCTTTTGAGATAGTATTTACTGCTGCACGGGACCTCTGTTTATACGGCATCATTCGTAGAACCGGAATCCACATCCCACAGTGGGATTCGAACCTGCGATCTAAGGATTAAACCCCTTACTTCGCGACTCTAAACCAGGTTATAGGTTCTAATGTAAACTGAAATCTTGTATCAATAGACTATAGTGTTTTCTTTTGCTTGTCGTTTTCCTTTTAATTGATATTTTCAGTGTCTAATCCCTCGTACTTTAAGAGGTATTATCTTTAATTTTTGTAAATCATTTATGTATTCAGTTGATTCGTTAGTTTTCAGAAATTAACTGGTTTATTCCTCTGTGCACATTGATAATTTTTAGTAAACTAACAAGGCTATCAGCAAATGTCAGCAGACAGACAGAGGTGTGCTTTAAGCACAGAGAGGCCTAAGTAAGTAATTTATTTTCTTCCCCTATCCGCCCTTTACTCTTTTAGAAAAGTTTGACTTGAGAAAAGTCTACGATCGGACAAGAATTCATATAACGGGGTGCTTCTTTGGTAAAGTTTCTCTTTTATCCGTAAGGTATATCGATGCATCAAACTTGTAAAGAGGCATCTTAATGAAAAGTTTGTCAATACGCTCTTTTTTATACTACTCAATAAAAACTATTCATTTTCTAGTTTTCAATTTTACAACTTCAAACAAAAATCTAAGGATCAAACAGTGTCATTAAAAATAATTCAACTTATACCGGAGCTATAAAAATAACTATTAACGTATTATGTGCTATTTGAGATTTCTATATTTAATAATTGTTAAACTAGTTTACTTAATGGTGTTGTTGGTAATATGTACTCACTGTTAATATGTTTTGGCTCGTATCCTTTTTTCACGTTCCTGTTAATTGATAAATAAGATTACATATTTTGATTAACTAAAAAATAGGAATTGTCACAATTACAGATGCAGAATATGTTTTAAAATCTAAGGTATTTTGCATTCATTTTAGCCTAATGAATTACGTATCTAAAATACAAACCTTCTTTTGCAATAAAAAAATAATCCAATACCAATAAGAAAAAGAACAATTAAGCTTCCCACTGCTGTCACTGTTGGCAACACATAACTATTCCATGAAAAAATAGATTCGTCTTCTTCTATAAAAATATAAAAGAAAAAACTTGAGTAATAAAATCTTAAGTACTCTACACGTATCATAACAGAAGAAACGGACTGCCAATGATCAGTCAAATCATTCATACTAATGATACTTTGCTAAAACTATTGTTAACATACTAAAAAAGATATAATTAAGATCAATATTTGAACACTTTTAAAGTTTAAGACAAAAAAAAAAAAAAAAAAAAAAGCATTTCTTTCAAAAATTACTAAAATATATCTTATTCAATATTCAAAACATTGATGTTTTAACCTATATTATGGGATAAGGGTGTTGACATAAATCTTCAATATTAATACCTGCATATAAAATATTTACCCGTGTTTGATCCGGCATTACTACAGCCAGTCACACGGTCACACAGAGACAGATTACATGTACACTCAGATGCACAAAGTTCTCCATAATATCCCGCCGGACATGGTTCAGAGCAATCGTAACCAAAATATCCTGGAGAACACTCTAAATGAATTGATGTAAATTGGTATAAATATTACAGTTTGTAGAAAATGGGCAGTGTATTGATAAATTTAAAAAGACTATTTCAATACACAAAATTGATAGGTATTTTTTGAAAGTCATATTTGATAAATAGATATTAATCTAATTTTTTCATTTTGATATTTCATTTAGATCAAGAAAATGTGTATTAAACGTTTATGCTTTGTGTATTCAATATCAACGTTAAATTGTAATTTCAATCAATGATAAAGGAGAAACTGACTCAAAAGAAATGCATACCTATGCACTCAGTACCGTTATTGTAATAGTTATTACAGCATCCATTCTCATTATCCCTTTAAAATACAATCATTTTTTTTAAATTTTCAAACATTTTGATCATGATTATTATTTATTAGATCTATGCAGACTTTAAACTGTTTTCTCATTTTCAGGCATCCATTCATTACAAACAATTAAATAATAATAAAAAAAAACTTGGTTTTGACCAGGGCCGTCAAGAGATCGTACGACACAGTGTTACGAAAATCAGAGACAAAGACAAAATCAGAGAAAATGTAATAAAGAGAAAATTCAATGCCGAGTAGTTGAATTAGAAATTTACTTGTGCTTCACACTCATCTAAATATATTTTCAAAACCGGAACCACTCATGAAGAACAGTTTTAAAAAGTGAATATCCCCAATTACATTTTCAACAGTGAGATACTGTAATTTATTTATTGAACAAAAGTGATATTTTTAATGGAATATACGGAGATAACGAACGGTATTCAAGTTCAAAAATCCATTTAACAATAGAAAATATGAACAGATGATACACGGACCTCCTAAACACAGAGGCGGGATCAAATGTGAATCAATATCAAATTAAACGAGGCATTGATCCGATCATCAGATCTACAAAAGTACAATTTTATAAACAAGGCATAACCCCCTCAGAATTCCCGAGGTGGTATTCAAGTGTTTCGGAGGAGTACGCATTGTGCACTTGCAATTGTTAATCGGTCCTAACTGCCATGAGTCCTATGTAATGTATTGATAAGCAACATTTCCAAAGTCAAATGTTCTTTTAAACAAAGACTCGTCATTTGGAAGGAAAGTCCAGTCAAAATACGACCCAATGATAAGGTATTTTTGCGTACTATGTCTATAACATGAAACTTACACAGTGCTAACTTTAAATTTGGTTTTTATAAGCCCATCAACATCAATTTATCGTAGCCTGCATCTGATTGAAAAAAAAACAGAGCATGGTCTTAAGTACCAAATAAGTTCGGGGATGTAGATGTAGAATACAAGTGAAAGCCAAATATCACTGCACAAAAAAAAAATGAAAAAAAATCTATATGGAAAAGTATTCATTATGAGTGAAAGTCTGGTCTTCGGATTCATGGATTCATTGCTTTCCATTGTATTGTATTGATTAGGTATTTCCCACAAATACGTTTGTTTTTGTTGCACATTCCCTGATCACTATCTGACCAGAAAGGGTTATAAATCTATATACAGTGGAGCCTCATTTATCCGGATGCTTTGGTTCCTAGTCAACTTGTCCGGATATGTGAAGCGTCGGGATACCTGAATCACCAGTTAAACAACGCAAAATAACATTAAAAAATTCCGTACCGATGAAAAATCGCCCGGATACTGAAGCATCCGGATATCTGGCGTCCGGATATCTGAAGGTCCACTGTAATGCTATTTTTGATATATTAAAAAACATCAGTTGCATAACGTATTTTGTGAAGATATGCAAAAAAGCTCTTTACGGTTTAGCAGTATGTTACTTACGGACAGTGTCCAACAGGATCTTGACTTGATGTTCCAACAGTGTGTGAAACTAAAAAGATACAAGCAAGTTTCATATCAAATTTTATCAATTAAATCCACCATGTATGTGTTATTATGAATATATAATCAGAATAACAGGAAATTATTTCGTAATCTATAAATAGCGTTAGTCAAATGCATTATGTTTATGTTCCGAAATTCCATATTCATATCTTCCTCAATTTACTAAAATACAGAAAAATGCTTTAGAAATATGATCTTCAACCCATTTATAATTAAAAAAGATTCTGAGATTTTTTGAAAAATATTACTTTTAGACAATAAAATTGCTCATTATATTTAGATAATTACATGTAAGAAAGAAAAGAAATAATTCTATAAAAGGTTAATTTTTCAAAGATCTCTTTGAAAACACAAGAAAAATTTTACTAACTATAACTGAAATCTTTTTCTATTTCTATTTTATTTTAAAAAGATACATGCACTATGATATTAAATATACTAAAAGGAAGGACATTGATTTAAAACAGGGAAATTGTTTCAAAAATATATAGTCACGTGTTTACACGATGTCGGAGACTCTTACCATCCTTACAGCCGATCACATGGTCGCACAGCTGACCTGGTTTACATTTACATTGATTTCTACAAAGTTCACCAAAGGAACCATCCGGGCATTTACGTGTACAATTGTGCTGAAAGTACCCAGGGTCACACTCTGTTAAATTCAAATTTAACCTGTATTTAATCAGAGGTCAAGAAAAAAATGCAAATAGATAAAACACAATGATATAGTCAATTTGATGTAAATTCAACATTTACTTTATTTAAACAAACAAAAAATCAATCAAACAAAAAAAAAAAAAAAAAAAAAAAAACCCAAAAATTTAAATTCAAAAATAAAATGACAAGGTGTACAGCTGTACCTTTACAACCATCCCTAGCCTCATTTAGTTGGTAGCTTTCACAGCACACGATGGTTTGTGAATTCAGAGGCCTACATTTTAAATAAATTAACTAATATAAATTCCAAAAAAGATAATTGAGAGAGAGAGAAAGGGAGAGAGAGAGATGTTATTCAATATAAGGAAAATTATTTTATTAAAATGTTCTATGAAGAAAAGAAAAAAAGAAATAAAAAAGCCTAATATTTAATATAGATCCAAGTTAGAATTTCCGGTTTTCTAATTGTATTCACAAATACATGTACTCTAAAACTTTCTTGAAGATTTCCCGATATACATCTTCAAAAGAAATTCTTCAGACTTGTATCAGGGGTATAAATGCATTCCTATAGGTGGCGTTTTGATTATAATAATGACAGGTTCTCACAATTTTTGTTTGAAAAGTTTGTTAGAATAGAAATAAACAATAAATTCTTTATATTTACATATTTAACGCTTCAGTAGTGCTGAACAACAACAGAATCGAGAATTGTATAAATGAAAAACGGAGATAAGGAACAGTTTATTCAATCAAAACAATCAGGAGCAGAGCAAACATGGACCTTAATGCATTGTTCACATCGAAAGTTAATGCCCTGTTCACACGGAGAGTTTAATTTGAATTAAACGTAAGTTACTGCGAATTAGCTCTTAGCGTTCACACGTAGAATTTAATGAGAATTAGTTGAATTCGAATTATATCACTGCGCATTAAATTACTTTGCATTTTCTCCGTGTGAACGCTAAGCGAAGCTAAATCGAATTGAATTTTGACGCATGCGTAAGGCCAGAATTAAGTCATAGAACACATGTTGGTGGTTAGATATAGGTGTCTGTGCTATATTTGGTTCAAATATCAAGGAATAGTGTGTTAATCACTAAATGTATACCTGTAGCCACGATGATTAGTATATCAAATGAATGGCTCTGCATACAGGACGTGATTTATAAATGACGTCATAATAGTCTTACTGACTGATTAATTTTTTTATATAAATTGTGTCAAACAATGTACATTTTGGTGTTCATAAAGTATTGAAAATGCATATAGTTCCTACTGTGTATTCTAACGCGCGGTGACAAGGTTTCGCGTGTGTTATAGAGATTTGAACGTCATGGATTTCTAATGGATTTCATAAAGAAAATTACACTGAATGTAAATATTTAAGCATTGAATTCGTATTTTGGGATGTCTTCGGTCCTATAACACACCTGGCCGTGCCCACAAATTGAATCGGCACTGCCAGGTGTGTTATAGGACCGAGAATCCCAAAATCGAATTCAATACTTATACTTACATTCACTAATTTTTCATCTTCATAATTGTTTTTTTTTTCGGTAATCTTTAATGTGAATTTAACACCCTTCGAAACTGGTGTGCTAAATAGACGTAAGAGCCGTTTTTACGTTTGTAACGTTGCAAAGTTAAATAACACAAACGAACATTGCGAGGAAAGCAGTTGCAAATTAATTTTTAACGCACATTTGTTGTATTTTTACGTTAATTTAACAGGGTTATTTTGATATTCTAGAGTATTGAAAATGCATATAGTTGACCTACTGTATTAACGCGCGGTGATAAGGTTTGCTGTTTTTGAGATTTGAACGTCGTGGATTTCTTTTTTGAGTGAAAAACTATGCAAAATTGTGTTAATCACTAAAATGTGTGTATATGCACAGTAACATTGTCAAATGCATCTACTCCTACATAAGGTGACGTAATTTGCAAATGACTATAATAGCCTTACTGACGCCTGGCCGTAGAAGTAGAATTTTGATTCGCATTAGTTTACTTCGCATTAGCTGTCGTGTGAACGCAATTTAATTCGCATTAGTTTGATTCGCATTAGTTTACTTCGCATTAATTTACTGCGAATTAAACTCGTCGTGTGAACAGGGCATAAAGTAATGCGAATCATATTAATGCGAATTAAATTGCGTTCACACGACAGCTCATGCGAAGTAAACTAATGCGAATTAAATTTTTTCTTCTTCAGTCAGGCGTCAGTAAGCTCATTAGACTACGTCATATGTAAATCACGTCATGTATGCAGAGTCATCCTTTGATACATCATGTAGTGGCTACAGATATTCATTGATTTTAGAGATTAACATACTTTCCCTCAATTTTTGAACTAAATATAGCACAAATACCTATATATAACCACCAACACGTGTCCTGTGACCAACTCTGGCCTTACGCATGCGTCAAAATTTAATTCGAATTAGCTTCGCTTAGCGTTCACACGGAGCTAATGCGAAGTAATCTAATGTGCAGTAAATTAATTCGAATTAAACTAATTCGGATTAAATTCTCCGTGTGAACTCTAAGCGAAGCTAATTCTCCGTAGTAACTTTACGTTTAATTCGAATTAAACTCTCCGTTTGAACAGGGCATTAAAAAAGAGGAAAGTATGTTAATCACTAAAATCAATGAATACCTGTAGCCACTACATGATGTATCAAAACGATGGCTCTGCGTACATGACATGATTTACAAATGACTATAATACGTTACTTATGTGCTTATGGTAGAAGAAATAAATGTTAATTTCGCATTAGTTTACTTCGCATAAGCTGTCGTGTGAACGCAATTTAATTCGCATTAATTCGCATTAGTTTACTTCGCATTAATTTACTGCGAATTAAACTCGTCTGTGTGAACAGGGCATCAGATTCTTCAAGGTTAACACTTTGTAACAGAATTACCAAGATAGTTAACAGTCTGTAACATAATAGCTTGGATATTATTATTCTGTAATAAAACAGCTGTCATGAGCTAATTTTGATAACAAAAGGGTTTTTGCAAAGTTTTATTAAAGCATTTCTATCATTCAAACGTTAAAAATAGTTTTAGATGCTGACTCTTGAAGAATCTGATGCCCTGTTCACACGACGAGTTTAATTCGCAGTAAATTAATGCGAAGTAAACTAATGCGAATCAAATTAATGCGAATTAAATTGCGTTCACACGACAGCTTATGCGAAGTAAACTAATGCGAATTAACATTTATTTCTTCTACAGTCAGGCGTCAGTAAGTCTATTATGACGTCATTTGTAAATCATGTCATGTACGCAGAGCCATCCTTTGATACATCATGTAGTGGCTACAGGTATTCATTGATTTTAGTGATTAACATACTTTCCCTCTTTAATGCCCTGTTCAAACGGAGAGTTTAATTCGAATTAAACGTAAAGTTACTGCGAATTAGCTTCGCTTAGAGTTCACACGGAGAATTTAATCCGAATTAGTTTAATTCGAATTAATTTACTGCACATTAGATTACTTCGCATTAGCTCCGTGTGAACGCTAAGCGAAGCTAATTCGAATTAAATTTTGACGCATGCGTAAGGCCAGAATTAAGTCACAGGACACGTGTTGGTGGTTATATATAGGTATTTGTGCTATATTTAGTTCAAAAATTGAGGGAAAGTATGTTAATCTCTAAAATCAATGAATATCTGTAGCCACTACATGATGTATCAAAGGATGACTCTGCATACATGACGTGATTTACATATGACGTCATAATAGACTTACTGACGCCTGACTGTAGAAGAAAAATTTTAATTCGCATTAGTTTACTTCGTATTAGCTGTCGTGTGAACGCAATTTAATTCGCATTAATATGATTCGCATTACTTTATGCCCTGTTCACACGACGAGTTTAATTCGCAGTAAATTAATGCGAAGTAAACTAATGCGAATCAAACTAATGCGAATTAAATTGCGTTCACACGACAGCTAATGCGAAGTAAACTAATGCGAATTAAAATTCTACTTCTACGGCCAGGCGTCAGTAAGGCTATTATGACGTCATTTGCAAATTACGTCACCTTATGTAGGAGTAGATGCATTTGACAATGTTACTGTGCATATACACACATTTTAGTGATTAACACAATTTTGCATAGTTTTTCACTCAAAAATAGCACAAGTACTTACAGCTGACCACGGAAATGTGGCATTTCACCTTATTTTGCCATTACGCTTGTCTCAAAATTTAATTCGAATTAGCTTCGCTTAGCGTTCACACGGAGCTAATGCGAAGTAATTTAATGCGCAGTAAACTAATTCGAAGTAAACTAATTCGCATTAAATTCTCCGTGTGAACTCTAAGCGAAGCTAATTCGCAGTAACGTTACGTTTAATTCGAATTAAACTCTCCGTGTGAACAGGGCATTACTTCGCATTAATTTACTGCGAATTAAACTCGTCGTGTGAACAGGGCATAAATTAAGTCAAAGCATTCTTTCATACAACAAAGTGTCCATATCAATTTTTAGGAACTGTTTTTGACAAATGTGAGCTGGCAGAATTTGCAGCACTAGGGAGCTATTGTGAGTATGATATGTTCGGCATTGAGACTTCCGTGTATTCCTGCAATTTGAATGTGGACATGCCCAGTGATGCTCAGAGAATTCAGAACATTCAGTTCCTGATAGATCAAGGATTTGAGGACAAAATTGTTATTGCTCATGACGTACATACCAAACACAGGCTGGTAAAATTTGTTTTCTAAAGTTTTCAAAAATAGGTCCGACATATTTTCTTTAAAAGACCCCCAGCTCTTCCATAAATGACAAATCGAGAGTAATCCAATGAATTATATTCGTTATTAAGAAGTAAAATTCTGAAATTTTAGAGTGTTTTTAACATATATATCCTTGAAAAGCGAAGGGTACATGATAATGTGGGTATACGTTCATCAAATTTGGAGGTAGCCTTTCTTAATCCGCAACTCCTCTTACATCACTGAATGCAATTTATTGAAAATTTTACAAAATCTTTATTACACAGTGACATTGTTCATATTTTAATTTACGTTTTACTCAGACTCGTACTAGGGATCCTTAATAGGAAGACATGAATTCTACAATTCGTCTATGAATACATGTTTTGAAAGTATCCATCTCTTATCCATGACTCCTTTTTCCCATAAATCATATTCTACGAATGGCTATAGGAAACCTATAGAAACCTAAAATAGATTATTCATAATTAATATTTCGTGAAGATTCATTAAATTGTAATCATCTACAGATAAAGGATGGCTATCCAAATAAGTGTAACAAATTAGACGTATAGATGGAAGGATTTGCGGCAGATAGGATGCATATCCTTAGCACCAAATACATGTATCCGCCCTTTTCACGCGGGGAAGGTCACAGTGGTTAAAAAAAATAGATTGGTTCTTCAAATGGATTTTTTGGCACTTATAAACTATTATCTGTTATATGCTATTGCTTGTTTCTGCCTTGAGGTCCGATTTCAGCAACTTATTTTCGGAAACCTTGATGCTGTTTTAAGATTGTATTTTATTGATTCTTTTGGACAGATGAAGTATGGAGGACATGGCTACTCTCACATCCTAATCAATGTGGTCCCCCAAATGTTAAACAGAGGAATTTCCCAGGCCACCATTGATAGAATTCTGATAGAGAATCCAAAGAAGTGGCTTACAATGAAAATGTAGATTTTATGAAATGCATGAAGACTTTGATAAATTAATGGACATGAGAATGACGGAATTTTTTTTTTACTAATCACTTTGTTCTCCATGACTAATTGGCATTTGTTGGGCTACTGTAATTACTTTATACCTTGACTACGGGTTACTTAGATATATCCTCAATACAGAGGTGGATGTGACCGATCAACAGGGGATGATTACTCCTCCTATAGGCACCTGATCTCATCTCAGGTGTTTCTAGGGATCTGTGATTTTGCTCTGTCCACAATTTGAATTGTATACAGGATTTATTGTATTGTTTTTTTTATCTTAATCTTTTTCACGTATCAAGTAAATAGCTGTACTACCATTTATATACTGAGTATATTTATACAATAGATTGCATTGAATGTTAAGAATTGCCATTTTATACATGTATTTCAATCATTCATTTTGTGTGCGAAATGTTTTGCCACATGGGTGATGTTTTTGAAATAAAATATTTGATCATCAGTTTGGTATTCTTTAAAAAGAGGGCTTTTAAAAAAACAGACAAAAAAAGAAAAAAAAGAAAGGGGTTTTAAATGTTTGTCACCCAAAACCTGGGCTAAAAATGAAAATTCCGAAACCCAGTCGCCAATATCTAAAAAATATAGGGCCTGCAAAACTTATGGCCAAGGTTAAAGTATTTTTTTAAACTTGGTCAATTTCCAAGATCAAACTTGTTAGTATCCAATGAAAGGTCTTGTCACAAAGAATACATATGTGAAGTATGAAAGTCCAAGCACCAACCGTTCAAAATTTGCCAGATTAAAAGTTTGGTACTGTATATTTGTGTAAGAGTGTGTCAAACACCAAGGTCAAGGTCAAATTTGGTGGTACGCAAATAAAGGTTTTGTTGTCACGAGAAAATACCTTGTAATGTTGAAAGAAATCTTTGATTACGAGGGCATAGAAAGAAGTATTCTGAAAATCAAAGAGTCAAAGTGGACTGATACACTGGTAAGTCATTGACAGAAAAGGTGATAAATGCAATGTATATGGGGTTACATGAACTATTGTATATGTATTCTGAAAACGGGAAAGCAGGTCAACTTAAAGGCCACAAAGAAGTTAAATAACAAAGTAAATGTCTAACCTTGTGTATATCTTGATTATACCATATGAAGCCTTTCTTTAAACGTGAGAAAAAGTGTAATCTGCTTCATGTGCTTGCATGGAATAAAACATGGATGTGTTTGATGTGGAATTTTTTTTTTATATTTTTGAGATATAATACACTCTTATCTTTTTTTTAAATTAAAATGGGGGGTATTGATCTACACTTCAGGTGCCTGTGCTTTAAAGAACTGCGAACGATAGTATTGTTCTCCCGCATACCTCCAAGTCAATTTTCAAAAGTTAACATATTTGATGAATTTTTAATATTTTTTATAGATAATTATATGGATTTTCATAAAACATTACTTATTTGGGAAAACAAAGAGAGATAACTCTAAAATTTTGGTAAAACTTGTGTTTTTACTACAAAAATCAACGGAAAACGGAAAATATTTTAAAAACATCTTCCCCCCCCCCCCCCCCGTGTCACAAAAATTCCTTTTTACATATTATATGGAATGTTATTTCACAAATTCATACCAAAGCTTTTTGTGTGACACGGGGGGGAACATATGTTTATTGACCAAAAAAAAACGATAAAAATGTTTATTTTCCACCATTTTCAAAGCGATTTACAGTTGAAACATTATATTTTATTGATATATTCATGATTTATTTGCCCATGACAAAGGAAGAGATATAAGGAACACTTAATCATATCCAAGACTATTTCAAAATATGGTGATGCCTGAAATAACTATTTTCAATGGAAAATATCGTCTACCCCCCTTTTTTCAAGAGCAGGAATTATGGATAATTTACTGTTTAGCGCTGGTATTAAGACAATTCATCAATTATCATTGAACTGTTCTTTGTATTAAACAAAGATTTTATGGCCAAATTGCTATTCATTTTGAATTAAATGGTTCCAAAATGTAGGCGGGAATCGAGAGTTAGCGTGCGTATTTCTTAATTGCTTCCGACGCCTATGAAAAGGAATAGGTGATATCACCTATTCGAAAAAGTGATATCACCTTCGAATAGGTGATATCACCAATTCAAATCAAATAGGTGATATCACCTTTTCGAATAAGGTGATATTCAGATAGGTGATATCACTTTTTGGCAGTAAATACCAAAACGGCGCCCCATACCCGCTCCTGAATAAACACTTACTTTCGGTTTCAAATAAAGTCAAGGGTTCACAAAAGTTCTACACGTTTTTTCGCGCAGAAGGTAAATATAAATGATCATATCTATAATTTTATAATGAAATCTCTGATCAAATATCACTAATAGTAATATATATACAGTATACACATGTTGTTACAACGTATTTTTATGACATACGCATGCATGCGTTTGTAAGACGGTGATATAGTGATGAATAAGTTTAGTACTTTAAAATTACATCTGTGACATTTTCCATTGTGATTTTTTTTTCAATTTTATAGGAATTTCAGGGATGACAGAAAAAGTTCAGACTGGTAGGCTAATGTAATAATGTTAATCTTTCTGCTAACTAATCTGCATAGTGTGTTCCCCTGCCCTCTTCCCCATTGATTTATTGGTTCACAAAACACGATGAACCACCTGTTCAATAATAAAATGATTAATAGAGTTTAAGAGTGAACTTTAAATTGAACTGATAGCTGAATTTAATTTTAAGAACGGATTATATAGTGTATTTAAATTTAATTTTTTATTTTAATATAATAGTTTTGGGTCCAGTAGAGCCTGGTGCCCTGGGAATAACCATGACCCATGAACATCTCTCTCTGGATTCCCTTGCCCTGGGACTTCCTATAGACCCTAAATATAAATATCTGGAGGAGGCACCTGTTGCACTAGACAACCTTTGGTACATCCGACAGTATCCGTAAGTGTTCAGGACATAAATGTAATGGATATATAGGAACCAGGTACTTCCATATTATCTTTCACTAAAGTCAATATTTTTTTTTTAAAAAGGTAATTTTGATGTGAAGGATTACCATTAAATAATTTTACAAATGGGAATTCTACAGTCAACTGTTTTGTTAAACACTTCTCTTGATAAACTAAATATTGATACAATAATAAGATTTGTGTGGTTATCTTTATAATGCAACTGATTTATGAGGTGGCTGGTGTGCACATGAATATTTATCATGCACACTTATTCTATTCAGATACTCAAACAGACCTAATTTGGATTTACGAACTGAAAATGCAGCTGTTGTTGAAGAAATGGATTTTTACAAGGTTTATTAAAAACAATTATCTGCATAATCACTAAATTCACTGATGTAATTATGAATACAAACTGACAAAAATGTTAATTTTGCATTAATATCCATGGCATGAGAAACAATTTCAAAATATTTTAATGATTATTACATCTTTAATTTCTGTTTGACTTAAAGAAAAATGGAGGAGGGACCCTTGTGGAAAACACCACCCTTGGAATCAAACGTGACATAAAATTTTATCATTATGTTGCCAGAGAAACAGGGGTGAATGTTATCGCAGGAACAGGTAATATATCCACTAATGGACATGATATGGACAGTAACTTTTGTGTGGTTAGAAAGATCTAGAGAATCAGAATGTGTTCAAAAGTCATATCATTATAAAAGATGTTTTATCTATCAGGTTTTTATGTGGAGTCATCACGACCAGAAACACTGAAGATGACATCAGAAGAGATGGAGGAAGTGATGAAGACAGATCTTCTTCACGGAGCAGATGGTGGGGAAATCAAATGTGGGATCATCGGAGAAATTGGGTGTAGCTGGCCGCTTGGCAGTAAGTTACAGCACCCCCCAATCTTGGAAGGGTGTGTATGCCTGTGTCTTATTTAAATAAATTCAACGTTTACCTAAATATGGAAATGTTTATACGATGCCAAATTTTAAACAACTCTTGTTTCTGTAGTGCTGTCTTGTAAACAAATGATGGAGACCTTTGTATATATTTTATACGCAACTAGTATGAAAAATTTGTGATAAGCTTTCTTTAATATGGACACTATTCTTTTTTTTCAGAGAGTGAGAGGACAGCCATACAAGCAGCTGCAAAAGTCCAGAGTGAGCTAGGGTGTCCAGTCAATATCCATCCAGGCAGGGACTCAAAGGCTCCATTTGAAATAATCCGAGTTTACCAAGAGGCAGGAGGAGATGTCAACAAACTGGTCATGGCTCACCTTGATAGCAAGTATCTGTAGCATAAAAGCCTCAATAGTACTCTTTAACATAATAAAGTGTAAAGTCACTTGTTTTCTTTTCAGCTTGACAATGTTTAAATTAATTAAAGCATTTGTTCTCTTTTTGAAAGGGACAATATTTGACCATAGCCAGCTTGCTGAATTTGCAGCACTGGGTAGCTACTGTGAATATGACTTGTTTGGTATTGAGACTTCTATGTATACTCACAATTATAATGTGGACATGCCCAGTGATGCTCAGAGAATTGAGAAGATCCAGTTCCTGATCGATCAAGGATTTGAGGACAAAATTGTTATTGCTCAAGATATACATACCAAACACAGGCTGGTGAGATTTTATATACAAAATGTCTGGCTGGAGTTATTTTAATATGTTTAAGAGAATATTGTATGAGCATTTCTATGCATATACACTGTAAGTTATCATAAACTATATATAAAGAATATATTTGTTCACCCCTTTCCCTCTTTACCTTTTGAGCTTGCTTGTGCTATGGTGTATGCTTGCATGTGAGAACATATAGATCCAAGCTTAGCTTTCATTACATATTTAACGTCTGTTTGGTTATCATTTTCTAGATGAAGTTTGGAGGACATGGCTACTCCCATATTCTCCTCAATGTGGTTCCCCAAATGTTAAACAAAGGAATTTCCCAGACCACCATTGATAAAATTCTAAAAGAGAACCCAAAGAAGTGGCTTTCAATGAAGGTGTAGACGCCAATAACTACAGGGAGGCTGCAGACGGTGCTGAAAATCTAATGGAGTTGAGCTTTGTATCCAGAAAAAAATATTGTTAATGATTAAATATGTATTTGGCAGCAAATTAATTTATAAGCCTTTTGTGATTCACCATGAGTGTTGGAGATTTTAGCAGAATGACAGAAGGTTTTAGCAGGAAAATGGACACTAAGCAGAAGTTTTTTGGTTATTCAGTGGTTCCGAAGATTTGTGGAACATTTTAGTGGGAATGAAAATAGAATGTGGATTTTGAAGTAGATGGTTGAGTAAACTAAATATCTAACTCAATCTTTAACCAGACTTAGTCTGTTGACCCCACTCAGTAACTTGAAGGTGAAAGTAGAATTTTGAGCAAGATGCTCTTCATTTAAACACAGTTAATATCTTACACATTAGCACTAGTGAAATATCAAGTCAACACTTAAATTTACCTGTAAAGAAAACCTGACAAAATGTCCTCTGGATTTTTACAGGACAATTTTTTGTAACTGATCATCTTTCTACCCAAAAGTCCTTTGAATGAAGTTGTCCATTCACTCCTTTTGAAATTCTGCTAAAATGTTTCTCTCCTGTTCACCATGTATTGTGTTCATTATATAACCAAGTTATATCCAAGTGAATTGGGACAACTTGCATGTTGATAGATGGGTTGTAGAATAAATATATTTTTTTCATATCTACTAGTAATCTTATATATATTCTTATTACTGGGGTATTTCAAATGTTGGCTGTTAAAATCACACTATTTTTCTTCAATAAAATGATGCATTTATAACGATTTTTATCTATTCAGTGACAATTTTGTTTTAAGAATGTGCATGTTCAATGTAAAACAGCTCAAGAGAAATTCAAAGTATACTTTGATAAAGAGGATATCAAGGAATTGTTCCGGGTACTAGATTGAACATCTATACATTTATATTATCTCTTAAGAAAAGGGAGAATCTTTCTAGACATATGATTTTGTGTGTTATCTAATTGTATAGACAAAAAATATCCCCCCCAAAAGTAACATCTTATTAAAAGCAGAGTTGCCCGCCTGGCACAGTGGTAGCGTTTGCTAGATAAGTCGAGCAAGGAGTTGATCCTTACGTCGCGGGCTCGAATCCCACTGCGGGATTCGGAGACTGGTCCTTCAGCTGAAACTATAGAATGAGGTCCCCTGTCACAATGAATACTGGCACGAAAAATAAATCCTCACTGCTAAATGGCCCCGAGTGCTGGTTATAGGCCTTTGCAGCTTAGCCCTCTACCGACACGTGCTGGCGTTTCGATGTGAGTAAACATGTCTCGAACTTGGTCAATAAATGTATGCCATAATGGTGTCTCATAAAGTTCTTCAAATTTTCGAGCATCTCAGCAGCTACACAGCAAAAGGGAACATGATTCAATGTAGAAAAGTGTAAATCTTCTATGCCTAGAACATAAGAGTTCATGGTCAACTTGACATTTCCATCAATTGCATTTTGTGCATCTTCGCTATCCAAGGTTTTCCGATCCGAAATCTAACCCTCGTTGTAGAGTAGATATCGGATCGGAAACCCTTGGCTAGCGAAGATGCATTTTGTGATGTTCAGCTGCTAGAACTTCATAAAACGCTTACCTCCTCTTCAGGTCAGTTAAGTCCTTTTAAACTTCATTTCAGCTTTTTTTTATATAGAAAATAAAGATAGAAGAAATTCATTTCAGAGCAAAATTCGTCCAGCTGGAAGACAAAAACATAACTTTACATGGATACAACTGTGGAACTTAGTCACGTTAAATCTTGGGAGTTTTAAGAGACAAGAAAATTAAAGTTACCCGACTGTACGTACACGGATACAAAAGCAAGAACTAAAACAACCTGTATATCCTAAACATGATTACATTTACACCAGGTAAGATCGAATAAAATTTAGGCAATATTACAAACACCTTAAATTACCAAAAATGGACTTAACCACTCCAAATTTCTTTTTGTTCACGATTTTTCAATGTAAACTATACCTTTTGGTAAATATATATATTCCTAACAGTTTGTATTAATATAGTCAAGAAGGTTACTCTTGTAAAACATTGTTAACAACACCTACCCTGTTTATAGATTTACAATTAAAAAACAAAATTACATTAATAAATGTTTACATATCCTTCACCTTTGCTTTACATAGTACACTACATGGTCTTCGTTTTACGACACAGTTTATTTGGTATCATAAAGATATCTTTTTAAAAGTTAATAACTGTAGTAAAAGTTTAGGTAACTTATTTACATTTTGGGATTTAAAAAAATCAACCCAAGATAAACAAATATTATTTGTTTATCTTGGGTTGCTTTTTTTTTTAAAATCTTTTTATGTTACATTGTTATTCAACTTATTATTAAGCATACATAAATATTCTCTCCTCACACACTTTCTCGAAAATTCTAGATCCACCAGCTTTTAAGGTGAGATCTTCTAAAAATAGATTAGTGCATTCGGGATTCATCGCGCACATTCCGGAATTTAGATAGTACTTACGTTTCGTGCTATTTATAGATAGTACTTTCGGGATTCATCGCGCATGATCCTGAAAAGGGAATCTCGTATTATCAAGAACTTTCATTAATAGTATATAAAGCCTGACCCAAACCCAAGATGTCAGTTCAACGAAGTCTTACACGACTGAAAGACAAACTACTAACATTGTATCAAGGATACGCAACCAACAGTAAGTGATTATCTGATACCATACACATTTGTACTTTCACTTTAGTGTTTACAAACAATCATGGCTAGTAAAGTCCCAGCTATCGGCATTGATCTCGGAACAACGTATTCCTGTGTTGGTGTTTTTCAACATGGAAAGGTGGAAATTATTGCCAACGACCAAGGAAACAGAACGACGCCCAGTTATGTGGCATTCACAGACACCGAGAGACTCATTGGAGATGCAGCTAAAAATCAGGTAGCACTAAACAGCGCTAATACGATTTTTGATGCCAAAAGGCTGATTGGACGCAAGTTTAACGATGAGAGTGTACAAGCCGACATGAAACACTGGCCGTTTAAAGTCGTAAATGAGGGAGGAAAACCAAAGCTTGAAGTAGAACACAAAAATGAGAAAAAACGATTTACACCAGAGGAAATCAGCTCCATGGTGCTGACCAAAATGAAGGAGACGGCAGAGGCGTACTTAGGACAGAAGGTGACGGAAGCTGTTATTACAGTCCCAGCTTACTTCAATAATGCTCAAAGAGAGGCTACCAAGGATGCTGGTGTCATAGCTGGTCTCAATGTTCTCAGGATTGTGAATGAACCTACAGCTGCCGCCTTGGCCTATGGACTCGATAAAAACCTCTCAGGTGAGAAAAACGTGCTCATCTTTGATTTGGGTGGAGGAACATTTGATGTTTCCATTCTAACTATAGACCAAGGCTCCATGTTTGAAGTCCGCTCAACAGCTGGAGATACACATCTTGGAGGTGAAGATTTTGACAACAGATTGGTGAATCATTTTGTGCAAGAGTTTAAACGCAAGTATGGTAAAGACATTTCTAACAATCAACGTGCACTAAGACGACTTAGATCTGCCTGTGAACGCGCAAAGAGGACACTGTCAAGCAGCTCTGATGCTAACATTGAGATCGATTCACTTTTTGAGGGCATTGACTTTTACAGCAAAATCACACGAGCCAGATTTGAGGACTTGTGTTCAGATCTATTCCGCTCTACCCTGGAGCCGGTAGAAAAAGCTCTTAAGGATGCTAAGATGGACAAATCCAAAATTCACGATGTGGTACTGGTAGGAGGATCGACAAGAATTCCCAAGATCCAAAAACTGCTCCAAGATTTCATGGGAGGTAAAGAACTCAACAAATCCATCAACCCAGACGAAGCTGTAGCCTATGGCGCGGCTATCCAGGCCGCAATTTTAAAGGGAGACACAAGTGAAGCCATCAAAGATGTCCTTCTGGTAGATGTCACTCCACTTTCTTTGGGCATTGAAACTGCTGGAGGAGTCATGACCAAAATCATTGAAAGAAATGCCAAAATTCCCTGCAAGGCATCAAAGACATTCACCACATATGCTGATAACCAGCCCGGAGTGTCCATTCAGGTTTTCGAAGGTGAACGAGCAATGACCAAAGACAATAATAAACTTGGAAAATTTGAACTGAATGGAATCCCTCCAGCACCCCGTGGTGTCCCACAGATTGAAGTGGAATTCAATTTAGATGCAAACGGAATCCTAAATGTTTCAGCCAAAGACATGAGCACGGGCAAATCTAACAAAATCACCATCACCAATGACAAAGGTCGACTAAGTAAGGCTGACATTGACAGAATGGTGAACGAGGCTGAACAATACAAAGACGAGGACGAGAAACAACGACAAAAAATAGCAGCCCGGAATCAGCTGGAGTCTTATGTGTTCTCTGTCAAACAGGCAGCAGAGGAACATGGAGACAAACTCCCATCTGAAGACAAAGACACTGTTAGCAGAGTTTGCAGTGAAACTCTCTCATGGTTAGACGGTAACGCCTTAGCAGAGACTGATGAGTTCGAATTCAAACTAAAGGAGGTTCAAAAAGTGTGCTCTCCCATAATGGCCAAACTTCATGGAGGAAATCCGGGTCAGTCTGGTGCTAGTCAGACTAATGGTGGTCCTACAGTAGAGGAGATGGACTAGATCTGTGATCGTTGACACTATTTTTTTGTTTCAATGTTTAATTCTGAAGCTTTTTCCCCATACATCGTGTATATATATAGAGAGAGAGACAATCAAAATGTATATAAGTTTAGATCCATGTATATAGTTATATAATCTCCATTTACAATTGTTGAATTTATTTTGTTGTTCAAAATAAACCGTGTTTAAATTGAGATATTGTTTTTTTTTATCTTGCTTTATCTAGAACTAAGGCAAAGGAATTGGAGAGCAATAAGCTGAGGGTTTTATAATTGGAATTTGTACTGCGATTGTGAGAAATTAAAATTTTAAGTTCTGTGAAAAATCAATCTGCACAATACTGAGCAATCTAAGATACGCTTGAAAAGTAATACTAGTACACTACTATTAATGAAGTTTTTACGAAGAGACTTACTTTTACTTGACAACTGACTTTTACATTTTAGTAATTGGAATTTGTCTCTGTTTAAATTGTAGAAGTCAGTCGTCGATTTTAAAAGTACATCTCTTCATAAATCTCCATTATTACTTTAAAGCAACAGCAATCATGCATGGAAAGATATATTTGGACTTTGAGTACTACTAGTATGCAGTCTTTCAATGTACTGTTTCTTTGAATTTCAGGTTATCTTGGCTTTTATAAATACAGGGACATGCAATGAGTGATGCATTAGATACATATGTAGACTTTGATACGTACAAAATTATTTCATGGATGAATGATATTTTCAAACACAAAGGATAATTTGGTTTCTCTCTTGATTTGCTTCAAACGTGTTCATGTGGGGAATTCAAATCCTAAAATATTCTTCATGTATTAAAGACAATCATAGGTACTTGATAATAGGGAAGTATTTTTCTTAACGATGTTCTGGAGGCAAGGTAAAGACGACTCCTTTATAATTTAATTTTTTAAATAAAACTATAATATTTAGACTATCAGTATCAATATCTCTTAAGCTTGATCTCAGTTTCTAAAGACAACGTGAAAAAGGGATACAGATTAAAGATGAAGCC